AAATTCACAAGAAATTTTAAAAAAAAAAAAAAATTAACGAAGAACACTCACACAAAATGCATATGTGCATATAAACATAATTAATATGTGATTCACTTTTGATTTACATGTGAATCATGTGTAATTCCTATGTTATTCACTTGTGATTTACATGTGAATCACATGTAATGTAATTGATATGTGATTCACTTGTGAATCACATGTAATTCACATGTAATTTATATGTGATTCACTTGTAATTTACAAGTGAATCACAAATGAATCATATGTGAATCACATGAAAAATTACATGTAATTCACATGTGATTCACTTGTAATTGATATGTGATTCACTTGTGATTTACATGTGCATCACAAGTGAATCATATGTGAATCACATATAATTCATATGTGAATTACATGTTATTTACATGTGAATCACATGTAATTCATAAGTGATTTACATGTGAATCACATGTAATTCATAAGTGATTTACATGTAAATTACATGTGATTTACATGTGAATCAAAGGTAATTCATATGTGAATTACATGTTATTCACATGTGAATCACATGTAATTCATAGATGATTTACTTGTGAATTTCATGTGATTCATATGTGAATTACATGTGAATCACATGTAATTCATATGTGATTCACTTGTGATTTACATGTGAATCACATGTAATTCAAATGCTAAAAAGTCGTTTCCTTTCATTCGTGTTTAAATGAAACATATAAGTGTATATATGCATATGTTCACAAGTACAAATGTCACCAAAAACATATATGCATACTTAGAGACATAAAAGATATCATATAATATAGTATCGTATTAATTAATGTATATAACAACTAGTAGATTATAAGAATCACTAACCCACCTTTCTGGTGCAATTGAAAACAACTCATAAAGTTCAGAATCTTGTAAAGCTCCATCCTAAAAATTACAAAGATTGATAATTTGAGATGATTTGCACAACTTGGTTATTGAGTTTTTTATTAATTGTGCAAAAAGAAATTAGATGAGTAAAATGGGATTATGTTTCGCATGTAAGCAACTAAAATTGAAGACTAAAATGAAAGGAATAGATGGTGACAAAGTCCAACTCAAGACCCAATATTCGACTACAAAACTCCACTTTAGATAATACTCATGTAACAACTGACATTAACTATAGCAGATTTTAAGTAAAACTTCACAATATAGATGTAGTTCACAATCAAGTTATACAAAATTATGATGTCATATAATGTGTAGGAGAAAACATACCTTGTTAGAATCAAACAATCCGAAAATTCCTTTCAAGAAGTCAATAGCTTCACTCATTAATTCAACACTCTACAATAACACAAGAACTGAGAGATATTTGCCACTATTCGGTACAAATGTCACAAGTTCAATGTAATTTGCGGAAGTGAAACTAAATATAAGAGAATTTTACCAACTCTCAGATCCCCAACCAACAAATAGCTTGAACAAATAATCAAGTTTTGCACGTGATGATAGATCCATTGATAAACTAGAATCAATTTCGAACTCTAGAAAACAATCGATGCCATAATGGAGACGATAATTTGTGATTTAGAGCTTAGGAATCGAGCAAAAACTAGAAAAATCTATTAATCAGAAAGAAAATTATCATCTCAATGATACACATATGAACCAATTTCATACCTGACTAAAATTGAAAAGCATAAACAAATAGTGATAAATGATACGTGGTGATTGTATATGAATGAATCGATGAAGCCACATTGATTGATGAATTAACACTTCTATTCCATATCTACAACAATAGGTAAGGAAGGAGAGACATCACGATGTTTTAGGTCGTATCGACAAGAACGAGATAGCGGTGATTCAAGAGTGTGGAGCAGTAGAGGCGGAGGAAGTACACTCACACGATTGAAGATGACGATGAGATGGGGCGGAGATGTGATTCAATCGGAAGAGATGAGGTGGAGAAGTGACACGATCGTGACATGGCCAAACCTCCGGGAAACGACACCATCACCGGGAAGCGATGCGACGACATGAAGGAACGACAAAGAGAGAGACAGTGGGTTATCATCGACGATTTACAGGTGTGACATTGGTTTTAGAGAGAGAGAGAGAGAGAGAGAGAGAGAGAGAGAATGAGATTCGACGTTATTGTTAGCTTTAAGGATGAATTTTATTTCATATGCCAATTTCACCCCTGACTTAAAAAAGTTAGATGCCTCTGTGTCTTTTTTTTTTCTCAGATATTTATAAAATTGCCATAAGAAATCTAAACCCTCTATTTTTTTGATCTAATGGTCTAAATTAAATTCTCAAATGATCCTCCCTATATATATATATATATATATATATATATATATATATATATATATATATATATATATATATACTAGCCGTTTACCCGTGCTAAGCGACGGGTGCGGATAGTTTTTTTTTATAAATTAGTTTCTAAAGACAGATTAGTTTTTTTTTGTGCAAATAGTTTACTATATCTCAACAACTATCAAACGACGTGTGCGAATCATTTTTTCAGAAACTTGTTTCATATGTTGGATCTGTTGTATCGAAAATACATCATTTATATTTCATGATAACATATTTGATTCCAAAAAACACAAAATGTATTATAAATATCGAAGTCAAAAATCCTAAAACCAAAGTTTCATTTAGGAAAATTACAAACATATTTATCACTCAAACTCGTCAAGAGATGGTCACTAAAAATACATTTTATAAAAAAGAAAATCCTTATGCTTACCGATGCAATTTTCATAGAAAATAATTAAATCTAAAAGTGACAATGAATATTTAGAATCTAAATGAAATTTTACAATGTAGAGGTGCAAGAAACAAATAATGAAAGTATATAGCTATTAAATGTATGTTTAGTAAATTTTAGAATGTTAAGGTAAAAAAAAAAATATGTTCCATCAATAACAATCACATAAAATTTTAAATTCAATTCATCATGTTATTCATTTTTAAAACACGTATGCGACTCATTAATCAACTTGCTTGCATCATATTTTTTTTATTAGATCGATGGACTCAAGCCTTAAAATGTATTGATTATTTTATCTTACTAAAATGTATTGATTATTTTATCTTACTTGATTATTTAGACAAAACATCATTGATTATTTTATCTTACTAAAATGTATTGATTATTTTATCTTACTTGATTATTTAGACAAAACATCGTTAGTGAATATGAGACATGTATTTTTTTATGATATTGTTTCTAAACTTTAAATTATGTTACTCCAAATGATTTTTCTTACAAATTTGTCCACAAAATTAGATTTTGTTTTTTGTTAAAATTATTTTTTTATAACCTTTTTATTCTTTTTACAATAGTTTTTTTTTTTAACTTTCTTACAACATTTTAAATTTTTTTTACAACATTTTGTAATTGTTTTTTAAAATTTTTTTTAAAACATTTTAAATCCCTTTTACAACTTTGTTTAAACTTTTTTTTACACTTTGATACAACCTTTTTTTATATTTTTTCAACAATAATGTTTCTAACAATTATAAATAAGTGAGATCCGTAAAAAGTTGTAGGAACTTTTACTAAATATTGTAAAAAATAAATTTGAGAAAGTTGTAAAAATCAAAGTGTAAATGAGTTTGTAATTTTAAAGAAAAAAGGTTATAAATAAGTATTTAAACTTGACTTTTTCTTTATTCTAATCTTAATATGAAAACATCAACAAAATAAAATTCATAAAAATTCCAATAACAAATAATACAAACTCATCATATGGATAAAATTGAAGCAAACTAATTATAAGAATTCCATTCATCATATCGATCCAATAGTTACAGAAGCTCAATAACTTTGTTTAAATAGATGTATGAACAAAAAATTTACTCATATAGATGCAAAGTTCATCTTGTTCCGTATATTCTTCAACCACACCAAGATAATACCTTTTTTACTATGTCAAATGACACCCACATGCAAACCAAATGTTAATTAAAACATCAAAAACCAAAATATCTAGTAATATAATCTGTTTTTATAGTTTGGCAAACCATAACAAACATTACCTTCATTTTTTGCTCCATAACCTATTAAAATCACAGATTAGTTAAAAATTTGAACAAATTAACATAAATTTCATATTTTTGCTTCATACCTTCATTCTAAAAGTGTCCCATAATACCTAGTGAAATTTTGTTTCCCTCCACATCCAAGCCAGAAACTCAATTGTAAAACACACAAAGACACAATTAAACAAACACACAGACTAAAAATAAAGAATCATTTAAGTAGATAACAACATAAAACTTGAAATAACTTATAAAGTGAAGAAAAAAATCAAACACAAATACCAAAACAAATTAAGTGGTTCCAGATTTATTACTGTAATTATTATAGATTGACCCTTCTTTTGTCTTATTGTTGTTGTTCTTGTAAGTGTTGCTCAAACTGCAATTTCAAATCTTCCCTTGTTGCTCACCTTTGCTCTCAAATTCCCCTTCATGAATCCTGCATACATACACAACACCATCATCCGAAAAACTAATTGTCTTTAACCCCCAAGGCTGTGGTCATAAATGTGAAGCCAATAGCTCAAAATTATCATAAGATCTCTCATCTCTGAAGAGAGTGTTTGGCTTCGCTGCAATGATATGGCAGGTAATACCATGATGTGTTGTTGTGAAGGCAACTAAGCAACTCAAAGTCTAATTCTACTGTGATGTATGTATTTAAACAAAAATTAAGAATGATCAAAAGACTACAATATATAACCAATGGTAGTATTTTTTTTCTAAGCCAACAGATAATTTGAATCAATGTTAACTTCAAAAATACTCATTTCAATATATAGATATAAACCCTTTTTGTTGATTTGATTAGGGTTCTAGCAAGCTGTTTCAGGTTAAAACTTCTTTACATCATCAAATCCATTTATTGTTTAGGAGAATAAAGAGTTGGACTGGAAAATAAAATAAATAAATAATAAAAAATAAAAACTTTGAAGTTAGTGGGAAGAAAGGAATGATACCAAGATCTCAAATCAGCTTCCTGTAGAGAAAAATGTAAAAAGTGTAATTACTTAGTGAACATAAATTCCATATCCACTTCTGAAGTCTATTTCCTGAACAAAGAGTGGTTTGAGGCTTAAAATTGTTGCTTACCTTGAATGTGTAGTGGCAGCTTCTAAAATCATAGCAGAAAAAGAAAAAAAAAAAAAAAAAGCCCATTGTTGAAATTGTAGGTTGTCTCCTATCTAAAAAATATCAAGATCAAGAGTGAGTTTATGGATTAAAGCAGAGATAGAGAGTAAGATTTAGGGCTCAAAATCATTCCACACACACATTGTCAAAGAAAGATGAAAAATGAAAAAGTAACACAGAACAACATCAATTCAACACAATATATCAACAAATAAACATATACCTCCATTGTCGATGGTTGTTTCAATGATACATATGAACAAAAAGCTAATAAAGAAAAGATTGAGTACAACGATACACTATCCCAACTACATACCTGCTTCTTCTCGGTTCGCCCTAAGTAGCTTCCAAACTGTGTGACAGTTATGCTTTGTTTCACATTAACCCAATTTAAAGGAAGACTTATGAAACTCGACAAGAAATCCCCCAAATTATTGCCAGCTATGCATTTGCTTTACATTTCAAGATCTGAAATACAAAAATCATAAAGTAAAAGTTCAAGACCCGAAATACAAAATCAAAATCTCGAAGATCACATATCTGCAAATCTGAAATGCGAAAAAAAAACAAAATATATCATATTCATATCATAGATCTGAAATAAAAAATTCAAAATCTACTATAAATGCTTTCCAAGATCTTGGGTAATCTGCAGGAGGCCGACGAGCGATGTTCATATCTACCAACATAATAATGTCAGACCTGAGATACAAAAAAACCACAATTAAAAGATTATACATTTCCACATTCGAAAGGATAAAATAAGATACTACAAGCCCTAACATTTTTAGATCTGGAGTACGAAATCAAAGCATCAACGATCCTATAATCACATATATAAAATATGAAAATCAATAGATAAAAAATCTTTCACGGGGGTCGAGGTGATATGTTGGTCGAAATAAAGGTAGAGGGAAGGTTTGGTGCGGATGGCAGAGATGATAGCAGTGGTCGGTGAAATATGTAGCGGTGCAAGCATGGTGCTGTGACGATAACAGTAGTCTTGTTCACCAGAGTTTAGCTTTTTAGATACTGAGCTTGAATTGTTGTTAGGGATGCATATGACGGTGATGGTAGTGGAGGAAAATGGCGGTGACACCGGCGGCAAGAGTTAGTTCTAGGTTTTTACATTGTGCGAAGGTGAAAATAGAGAGTGCAAGAGATGCTTGAGAGAAAGGAAACATTTTATAGAGAGGAAAGATTTCAAAATTTTAGAGCGTGAGAGCCAGAAAAAGAAGGGATAAAGGATATGATATACAAGGGAAGCGGTAGTATCCGTTAATTTAGATAACCATACATCGGGGTTAGAGGGGACTGAGTCAAAAACAAATGTTGGTGACCGCATAATATATTTCAGTGCATAAATTTATCGTACAAATTGCATACAAAGTTATACCTCTTAAAATTCAGCAAAACATGGTAAATGCTTATTAAGGTATATATATATATATATATTTATTACCTTATAAAATATTTTGGGTCAAATGCTGAATTTTAACTCGTACAAACATACAATGCATTTGTACAATTAATTTATGCATTACAAAAAGAGTAGAGTACATATGGTCAACAGTTGAAAAGATCAAATCTCTTATCCCCTATTCTTAGGCTATTTTGACCCGGTTCATTCGTTATCTCCGTATTTCCCCAAATCTCGCAATTCCTGTTCACAAATCTTGGATATATATCACTGACGTTTCCATTTCTAGGGTTTAATTCATCTTTCAGCATTCAACCACCATTATCACACTTGTCGCTTAGCACGGGTAAACGGCTAGTATATATATATATATATATATATATATATATATATATATATATATATATATATATATATATATATATATATATATATATATATATATATATGGGTAATTCTAAACCCACGAATTGAATTCCAAATGCACGAAGACACGATTGATTTGATATACATCACTTAACAAATTTGACTATTTTTAATAATATTAAATTGAATTTGCATGGGCTGTTGTTAAAAATTAAAGAATATGTAAGTTTTCAATTCAATACCTTATACTTGTATTTATTTTAAAATTAAACCTTACACTTTTTAAAACTTATATATATATATATATATATATATATATATATATATATATATATATATATATATATATATATATATATATATATTGTAGACTGTGATTAGTTTCTAGATTGTACTTCAAAATATTTAATCTTGTTTTTAGAAACATCAAAATCGCACATATATAAGTTTGCTAAATTATATATAAAAAAAAAAAAAAAACATTTTTTTTAATTTATAGAGATCTTAATAATTATAAACAACAAAACATAAATTTGATTTTATTAATTATCAGATATTATAACTGTAGAATTGTTACAATTACTGTGTGTTGCAAATGGAGAAATGTAAGAATTCAGGCGAGCAACATAAACAGTTTCCCATCCAGCAGAGCGTGATGATCTGTTGTGACACCAAAGTGGTAAAATAGTAGGCATTGGATATGCTCCATGTAAATCAACCTTCACATAATGATCACCTCTAACAAGAGCAATAACAACAACTCTATGAGTTGAGATGTCTTGGGGACCAAGCCATAGTGGAAAACATGTAGATGGATTATCTTTGCTTAGAAAAATAACTATTACATTATACTTGTTAGCAATGAGAAAGCTAGTGACCGGCATAATCAACCAACGATCTTTTGGTGCGAAATGTGATCCATTGAAATTCAGTGAGTGATGTATGGTGTTTAAATCGTAATAAAAAAACTGTGCGTACTCAGCTGGGTGTGCTAACAACTCATTCTGTAAATCTAAACGGATTTGACGCCAATTATCTTCACTATAACCGAGACACGCAACTATTGCACGAAATCCACAATTTCCATCTCCCCTCACGTTTTGTATGTTTGTGACATATGGATGAAATTCATACGGAATTTCATTCATAAGTGATTTGCATTTCTTCATGACGTATAAAGAACATCCCAACATGATTTGCATTTCTTCATGATATTGTTATTTATATGCCATCTGCAAAGTAATCCTTTAGCATCTGGAAATATAATAGTGTATGCGTTCATGAGAGCCATTTCTCTATCAGTCACAATAACACGAGGCAACATACATCCTTCCATTACCGATTTTAGACAGTCTAAAGCCCAAACATAGTTGGACTGTTTTTCTTCATGCATGTACGCAAATGCAATGGAAAATGTCATATTTGTTGGAGTTACACCAACAATCTCCAATAGAGGCATCTCGTACTTGTTTGTCTTATATGTTGCATCCATTAACAAGACATGTGGAAATGCACGCCATATTTCTAATGATCTTGGATGAGCAAAGAATAAATTCTCTAACTTATTTGTCAAAACATTTGCACGACTATAATAAACATATCCATTTTGATCTAGAAATTCCATAACACCTTGCATTTGAGTTTTACCTTCTCTCTCCCTACGTCGAAGTTTTTCGTCTGCATTGTAGATAGTTTTGAGAGTAGATACATTTTTCGGATTTAGGTTTTTTAGTGCAGATAATATATCTTTTGGTTTGACATTTTTTTTCAACAAATCTTCCACTATTCGACATTCATATTCAGTTAGCCGTCGTGGATAAGGATGACCTTCTAAATATAATGACGACTCATGGTTATGAAATTCACATATCATTTTTATCTTCCAAGAATTATCTACTGACGAATATTTACCCTGTAGGCTAAATGGACAATTAATTTTTTTTTGTCCCTGCTTTTTTTTTTTTTTTTTTTTTTTGAGATTTGTGTACTTTTGTATGTACCTCCACGGTCACATTGAAATACAACATTAAAGTTTCGTTTAGAATTTTTTATGACGATAACATAACCTAAAGTATTTGCCATATTTTGCACCCAATCCATCGATTCTTGACGAGAATTGAACACCTGACAATTATATTATTATCAGTAGCAGACAAATCCACTTGATGCTTAGTTGTCTACATTACAGTAACAACATACTGATGAATTTATACCTTATTTGTTTTGAAGGGTGATGTGTCATCGAAGAAATAACGACTTTCGTTCAAACTTTCATTTTCATCTGCTTCATTTGTATCCATTGGATGAATATCCTTTTCGAATGGTGATGTGTTGTCGAAAAAATAGTTACTTTCATTGAAGCTATTATTTTCATCTACTTCATTTGTCTCCATTGGATGAATATCATCTCTCTAAACATAACAAAGAGAAAAACATATATAATAATAATAATAATAATAATAATAATAATAGTAATAATAAGAAAGGTTAAGTACAAATACCTCATAATATGTATCACCCATCCATTCTTCCCAACTTGTCATTTAATAAAATCTATATTTATAACAAATATCATATGTTTGCTTTTAAGGAAAGTTACTTTCAGCAAGTCGCTTTCAGTTTACCATATAAGAAATATCAATCCTCTATATATAGAAAGAAATTGTAACCAAATTTTCATTTTTATCCCTTCTATTTTTGTTAATGTTTCATAGTTTATATTTCTTATTTAACAAATTAATTTTTTTTTCTATTAATATTTAATAATATTTATTATTACTCTTCTTGTAAATGTATTCATAAGATCATTATAATTAAACAACTTTTATGAATAAGTAATATGTTTCTATTTGTTAGTTTTCAAAATTCATAAAGTTTTAAAGGTTTAAGATTTAAATTGATAAAATCTAGGGTCTTTTCTAAAACTGCAATGTAAATCGAATGTATAAAATTGTAATATTATATTTTATAGATAAAATGATTATTTTATCGGCACACATATTAATACATTTTATCGGCACACATATTATTTTAATAAACTTATAAATTGGTCGATCAATATGAATTTTGAAAATAATAAAATATATTATTTTCATTAAATATCCTTACATTTATATTTGATTTTCAAATCAAACCTTATATTCTTTTCCATTGTAACAGCCAAATAACCTTTCTGGCCTGCAATGGAATCACCCATTCCATTCCATTCCTCCGTACCAAAAAAGGCACCATAATATTGTTAATAGACTCCGTAAGCAACGGAATCAT